CTGACCTCAGGTGATCCGCCCGCCTCGGCATCCCAAAGTGCTGGGATTACAGGCATGAGCTACTGCACCCAGCAAGCTCCCCATTTTTAACTAGGATTTTTTACAATATTCTCCTAGTCAGGATTAAGATCTGCCTTCCTCACATTTCAGCTAAGACCTCAAACTTTCATCAGGGTATCTTTCTTTACATAATGGAGCTTTCCTGCAAATAAAACGTTAAGTCACCCATCATTGTCTTCAAGTTCAGTTACCGAATTGCTTGGTGCAAGGCTGAGCAGTGTGCCACTTCAACTTCATGCACTGCCCTCCCTTTATAGTATACAATTCATACTAAACTACTGTATGCTAAAGGGAAGAAACTGGTGGAAAGAGAAAAATTAAAGGAGTGAGAGGGAAAAAAAATCAAGAGGGTGAGGATGGGGAGAGATGATCTCATTTATGTCCATATATATGAATATATATTTTAACTTGATAGTTTCCAAACTTACATCCTCCTGTCCAAACCCCAGAGTCTCAGAGAGACATAACCAACAGTTTCCATGCAGTCTCCCGTGAATTATCTTAAAAACATTACAAAGCTAAATGACTAATGTAAAATTCCTTTTTCTTTTGTTTTCCACGAATTGAGGCTTTTCTCATTCATTTCCAAAGAAAACTTTGACTTAATCCATTAGCACGTTTGAGTTTCTTTTACTGTTTAGTGCAGTAGGACTTGTCTTAGATTAACTTGGTACATATTTCACCAGTGAATGCCTTATTTCTCACTTTTAGAAAGCATTGTTTACATTTTCTCTTGAATCTGGTCTTTCTCCAGTCTTCTCCATACTAATAAATACCTGTACTTTCCATGCATCAGCTCAGGTAAATGATCTAGAAGTCGTTCTTCACTTCCTTTCCTTAATACATTTTCCTCTCCAATTCAGCAGCAAGTCCTGGTGATCCTATCTCCAATATATTTCTCAAATTCCTACATTTATCTCTCTCTCTCCCTTTATTCTCACCACACTCATCCTATCCACAATCATCTTTTATCCACTATTCTTCAGTACCTCTGAAGACTTTCCCTGATCTGACCTTTGACTTCTGACCTTCTGACTTTCCCACTCCACTCCATTCTCCTGTAGCACTGAGAGTCATTGTCTTAAAATTCAAATTGCATCAAGTGACTTATTTAAAATCCTTCCAAAGGCCAGGCGTGGTGGCTCATGCCTGTAATCCCAGCAGTTTGGGAGGTCGAGGCAGATGAATCACCTGAGGTCAGGAGTTGGAGACCAGTCTGGCCAACATAGTGAAACCCCGTCTCTACAAAAAATACAAAAATTAGCTGGGTGTGGTGGCTCATGCCTGTAGCTCCAGCTACTTGGGAGGCTGAGGCAGGAGAACCACTTGAATCCAGGAAGCAGAGGTTGCAGTGAGCAGAGATCACACCACTGCACTCCAGCCTGGAGCCTGAGCACACAGGAGGGACAACTCTGTCTACAAACAAAAAAAAAAAAAAAAAAAAAAAAAAATTCTTCCACCCGCTTTTCTCAAAATACACTGTTTTTTTTGTTGTTGTTGACAGACGTCTTCCGCTTAGTTTGCCAGCGCTGGAATGCACGTGGGCACCTATCTTCCGGTTTCAGCTGCAACCTCATGCTCCTGGGTTCAAAGCAATTCTCTCGCTCACCCTCCAGGGTAGGCTGGGAAACTCCGCCGCACAGGCGCACACCGAGCACCAACGCCCACAGCCGCCGCCTTAATTTTTGTACATTTTTAGTAGAATACCTGGGCTGCGTTTTACAAAATATTTGGCCAGGCTGGTCATACCGAAATGCTTGACTCGAAGTGATCCACGCTCCTCCGGCCTCCAAAGTGGCTCGGATTTAGCGGCGTCGGG